CAATCACAACATGCTAGTATAATAAAAATAAAGAGCATGAAAAGAGAGCAGATAGTATAAAAAGACTACAGAGTAACACCTAAGTTATAAGCATGAAATCATAAGCATAATCAGTAGTAATTTCATTCATTTCATACAGATCATATCATAGTAATGTCACTTGTTTAATATAAAGAGTTCAACTATTTTCATTTTCTTTTATAATGGATTAACACCCCGCACTAAAAATGCCATATAAACCATCGATAAAGGTTGGGCTTCCCCCAACATAATAGTTAGCAACAACCCCCTGATACCCACGGTTCTCTAACGTTCTGTCACCGTTTAATCCTAACACTTCCCAGAGTTTCGTCCCAATATAAATATCAGGAGTCGGGAATACATCCCTACATGTAATAATCTACCCAGACATTACTCATGACATTTCTTAAAGCATAATACTTGTAGTAACATTTATCATACATTTCATAAAGCATAATTTCTGAAACCAATTATTTGATATCTCTTAAGCATAAAGCATAACATAATGAATACTTGAAAGAAGCAATCAATGTTTTATGCAAAATCATTCAAATCATAAAATAGCATAAAATCACGTGTAGCATAATAAAAGTCAACTTGCATTCATAAATTACTTGCAGGTATTCATCTAGAACATGTCAGAATTCTTAAATGCACCAGTACCAACTAGCAATCACACGCAAACCTATAGAAAATTATTTTTCTTAAATTAGCACAAGATTATTTCACTTTATTCGATGGAGCAGCCCTACAACGAGTTTCTACACGCTCAGCCCAAGCTCGCTGCTTCGTATAGACAACCTAGAGCTTGTAGGCAACATAGTTTCATAAAATTTAGCTAAAAACATGAATTAACTCAAAACAACCATTAATTGCCAAAACATACCTCAAAAGGACTGTTCGGCATAAATCGCCCTTTTGAAACCGGCTAATCTTCATCTTATCACCTCCAACTTAACTTCCCCTACTCTAAATTCATGCTAAAAACCTTTAAGAAGCTTTCAAAATGATTACGACACTTCCGACACACAACCTGCACCACCTACTACTACCGAAAATGAGAAAAACACGAAAAACGAAGCAAAAGTCAAGATGGAAGTGTGAGGAAGGAAAGGAATGCTTAGAATGGAGAGAAAAGAAATTTGTACTTACAAAATTTACCCCAAGCCCTGAATCACGAGCTGCCGCACTCAGGTAGCCGCTCGGTTCGTTGTTGGCTCGCGGCAGTTCGCAGCCCTTTCACTATAGGTCTCCCTTGCTGCTTCTTGTTGTGAGATATGTACTTCATGGCATATAAATGAGACGAAAAGAACACAAGCAAACACAGATCGTTTACGTGGTTAGATCCAACTGGATCTACGTCCAGTCCACGGGAGGGAATCAATATTTCACTAAGGCAAAAGAAATGGAGAATACATAGCTTATACATAGAGATGAGCTCTCATCTTCCTTCTATGGCCTC